TAAATTTACAAAGTTTTAAAATTTTTTTAAAGAAAAATTTTTTATATACGTATATATAATTTATTTACACAAGTATCGTTATACAAAATAAAGATTTCACTTGATTTAAAGATTATCACTGTTATACAAATACATATCTGACTTACCGAAAAATTACTAACAGGCTATACAAAATCAAACATATGACTTATTGGAAAATTATATAATAAGTTTATACAAAATTGGATCCCAGTGTTATATGTATTGTTCGGGGTCCTATCTCATTGTGGATACTTTGCTTGCAGCAAATTTTGAATAATTTTAGCACCAATTGAAGGTCCATCATATGTTATATAAAATTTTATATCAGCCTTTATTTTTTCAGAAAAACGTCAGTATTTTGGTGAAGTTTTGTGTATTAATGGATTCAATGGATGATTGTGATCATCATTATACGAAGTTAAATGAATTGCAGGAGATGTTTTAGGCCAATTCAAACTAGCTTTCCAGGGATATCCAATTGAATTTGAAGTACGTTAATGCTGCTTTGATAAATCAGTTGCCTTATTTGGTCTATAATTACCTGAAAAAGTACATGAATAAGTTCTTCTAACAAGGCGTTGTGAACCATCCTCTAAAGTAATATAATCTCCTCTGCATTTTCTTATAGCAAAACTTTTTGATAGTACATATTCATCAAAAAATCTATTAACTTCCTCCCATGAGTCAAATTCTTTACCAATACTCAACACTTGTTTTTCATTTTCATTTTCTGATCCACTTTCGTAATCTTCATAATTGTTATCACCAGAACTATTATAAAGGAAGCTTAAAAAAATATATATGTGTAAATTAGAGTTCTGAATGGTCAGGTCAGGTCAGGTTAATTGATAAACCTGACCTGAAATTTTTTTTCAGGTCAGGTCAGGTCAGGTTATATCAGGTTGTCTGCTTGACCTGACCTGACCTGAAACCTGAAAAATTTCAGGACTATTTTTATTAAAGTATTGAAAAAAAAACGGTATAAACCTTTTTTTTTTTAATATAATATTATGAAAAAAAACATTTTTGCAACGTTTTTTATTAAAATATTGAAACAAAATGTTTTTTTTAATATAACATTATGAAAAAACATTTTCGCAACATTTTTTCTTGAAATATTGCGATTCAACATTTTTATATTAAAATTATATAAAAAAGTGAATCCCAATACTGCAATTCACTTTTTTTATATAGAATTAATATAAAAAAAGTGAGTTGTGATATCGCAACTCACTTTTATTATATAAAATCAATATAAAAAAGTGAATCGCAATACTGCAACTCACTTTTATTATATAGTAGAATCAATAGTTTCAGGTCAACAGGTCAATCAGGTCAGGTCAGGTTACCTGAATTTGGCTGACCTGTTCAGAGCTCTAGTGTAAATAAAGTTTCATCCCTATAAAAAGTATTATATTTAAAATATATTTAAAATATATTTAAAATATACTTAATTTAAAAATTGCAAAATACTTAAAATATATTTTTAATATATCTAAAATATACTTAAAATTATCTTAAAACATATGTTTAATATATTTAATTTTTGCCCATATACTTAAAATATATTTAAATTATATTTAAATTAAAATTTAAGTATATTATAAGACTATTATAAGTATATTTTTTATGTATTTAAAATATACTTAAAATATATTATAAAATATATTATAAGTATATTTTAAGTATGTAAAAAATATATCTATAATATACTTAAATTTTGATTTAAGTATAATTTAAGTATATTTTAAGTATTTTGGCAAAAATTAAATATATTAGAAATATATTTTAAGATAATTTTAAATACATTTTAAGTATATTATAAGTATTTTGCAATTTTAAATTAAATATATTTTAAGTATAATTTAAATATATTTTAAAAAGTTTTTAATTATATTTTAAATATAAATACTTTTTATAGGGTATTAGTATATAATTGATAGCTATTTTCTAACCCTAACCCTAATCCTAACCCTAACCTCAACATTAACTTCTTATCCTAACCTTAACTAACCCTAAGTTTTAGTATTTTAGATACTTTAGGTCTCTGGGATCTTATTTTACTTCACTAACTAATCTTTTTTCTTTTTTTACTTTCTTTTAGTCAGGTTTTCACCTTCTATTCTCTCTTATTAGTTGGATTTTTTACTTTCTCTTGGTTGGGTTTTAGCTTATATACAATCAAAAAATAAATAATTTAATTCTTTTTTTTTTATATTATTTAATTATTTTAATAAAATAAATTAGCTATTTATTTTTTGGTAATAACTATGATTAACCACTGGTTATTATAACCATCAGTTTAATAAAATTTTAAATTTTAAATTTTTAAAATTAAATTTTATAAAATTTTGAGATTTACGTAATTTGTCATGTGATGATTATGTGTCATATTTAGATTATTTTTATACTACTGATTGATTTATCAGCTTTTAAATCTTTTTCTTACGCCTTTCTTACACTCTTTCTCTTTCATTTCATTTGTTTCATTTACATCTTCTATTTCATTTACAAATTTATTCCATTACTCATTTATTTCTATCATTAATTCATATATTTCATTTACTCTTATAAAATTGCATGAAAAAGAACATATGATACACCTTTTTCACTCATTTTATTTATTTTTATTTTTAATATCACTACTATCCTTTAATATCGTAATTTTAACATGGCTGAATTTGATCAGGAATCTGATATAAGTATGCTTCTTATTTGCTAGAGTTTTTTTTTAGTTTTGGTTAATTAGAATTAGGATAAGTTAGGGTTAGGTTAGGGTTAGGATTAGGATTAGGGTTAAGGTTACTGTAAAATGCTGAACTAGAAGTTTGAAAAATCTAAAAAATGAAAAAATGGTTAACTGAAAAATAAAATATAGCGAAAAAATATATATATAAAAAAAGAGAAGTCAATCAATAAAAAAAACACTACAAAAAAATATTAGAACTTTACTTGTGATAATTACAGTACAAAACAATTAATAATTTTAAATTACAGATCGCATCTCTAACTTCAAAGATTCTAGTTTATTCAATTATGACATTCAAAAATAAAAGAAATATTAGAAAATGTTTCTAAGAAATTAATTAAAAAACAAGTTCCTTCCAGCTTTCCCTTCTACATTATCTCGAAGTCAAGTTCGTCTAGAGCTGGCACCCTAAAAACAAAGAAAAAAATGTTTAAAACATTCAAAGATAAATAATTGAAGTCATCCTTTTTTAAGGGTAGAGGGATTGACATGGCTGATTATATGGCTAAAAAAAAAAATCATTTTTTTTTTACTTCACTATAAAGAAACTCCCTCAATATTCTATGTAAAACTGTTTAAAAGTATTCTTTAGAAAGCTAGAGTTTCTGTCTTTCAAATAAACTTTAGCAAAGTATAGTACAAATAAGATTTATGACAAAATATTACACTATTAAGTTGTCATTAAGTTGCGAATCTCCTATGGTAAGTTGCGAATCACCTAGAGAACATATCTTCAAATCAACTTTAAACTTATGAAACTTTACAAGCTAATAGTATAATAAAAAAGAATATTTTATATCAAAAAATCATTGTGCATTACTTATTCAAATAAAATTTTTTATTAATACCATTTTATTTTTTTATTATTGGTCATATTTGCTTTTAAAAGTCCAAATACACTCAAAAAGACTAATAGCAAATGATTAAATATTTTAATAAATAAAATGAAGTGCGTGTGTATACTCTTTTTAAATGTGTATTTAACAAAATTCATATGGTAGTTTGTGAGAAATCATAAATTTTTCGTCTGCTTTTGCTCGTTTCGTGGTCACGTGATGATCTACATTTTTTAGTCTACTATTGTATATATGTTGTGGCGTAAATACACTCTACCCTTAAATTACCTCAAAAATCTGTTTCATTCAATTCTGACGCTAAAATAAAGAAACATTAGGAAATGTTTTTAAGTAAGTTAATAAAAAATAAGATCTCCTTCCACATTACCTCAAAGTCTGGTTCATACAGATCTGGCATCCTAAAATCAAAAAAAGAAACATTAGAAAATGTTTCTAAAAAAATAATAAAAAAATATGGCCTCCACCTTCCCACATTACTTCAAAATCCAGTTCTGATGTCTATAAAGTAAAAAACAATTATTAATAAAAAGTTCTTATAGAAAGTTAAATAAAAACAATATCCTTCATTCACATTACTTCAATATTACCTCAAAGACTGAAAATTCAGCTCATTCAAGTCTGTTAGTCTGTTCTGGAAAGAAAGAAAAAGCATTAGGAAGTGTTTCTAAAAATAAATAATTAAAAAAAAGACCTCTCCCTTTCTGTATTACCTCAAAATCCAGTTCGTTCAAGTCTAGCACCCATAAAATAGAAAAACAAATATTAGTGAACGTCTTTTAAAAAAAAGTT